GCCGGCTCTCGGCGGCAGCTCTGCGGGCCAGCAGGGCATCGCTCTCCCGCTTCAGCTGCTCGTACAGCTGCAGCCGCTCCTGGACGTAGCTCGGCCAGAGGGGCAGCTGGGACAGCGGGGAGACAGGAGAGCTCCTTCACCGGGTTTACCAAGACCACGTTCGGAAGGCAGGGCGGCACAGCCCACATGAACACAAGACCAGGGAACAGTCAGACTGGGCTGTTTGAAAGCCGGTAGAGGGGAAGACTTTGCTAATGCGTCACTGATTGCTGGTTGCTCTCGCACTCGTCGCTTCTTTTGTTTTCCGATCTGAGGAGTCTGTGATTTCTTCTGTTGGCCGTGTCAGTTTCTCACTATTGGAGAAATGTGCTGTTGACTTCGAGAGCCCCGTGCAGTTTAAGCTGAAGCACTAGATTTGCGTCTCGGTCAGGGGCCAGGCTGACAAGGTGCGGCGGGCAGAGTTACCTCTCCGGATGGCTGCTCGCCCCTGGAGTTCTCCTGCTTCTCTTTCCTCGTCCCCTGAGCACTGCGGGAGTCGGAGCTGCCCAGCTGACAGGCAGACACCAAGAGTCAGACAGCTGCTTCTTTAAGAACGTACATCTGACTGCACAAATGAACTTCTACACCAGTTTAAATGAAGAATTAGAGTGTTACTACGCTTCAGAAAATTTCAAATCATGTTCTATATTTCATCTTTGTTTAAAATTAACCCCAGTTAATTTTTAAAGTCTAGATTTAGAGATAAACCTATTGCACTAGTAACGTGTTAATCATACATCTAGGATAAACTCAGAAATACCCATTTAAAGTCACTGTGGAGCAATATTACAATTAATTTAACAGAACGCTAGATGAATTTTAGTTCAGCACTCTTCAATGCAGTCTGTTTTGGTGTGATCAAACCTTAGAATCAGCAATCGACACTTCCTGACTGGTGCCCACTGTGTGAACCCGAGACTTACCAGGCCAGGAGGGGTGCTGACTCCACTCCTGGGGGCCTGACACCCACACTGTCAAGAGGGGCTCTCAGGCATTGCAAGCCCAGAGCCCCACACACTCCAGCTCCCTCATGATCCTAGACTCTGGAGCGCTGAACCCCCAGTAGTAGGTCCCCAAAACACCCCCACACCCAGCAGTGTCTGGCCAGCCATGTGTCGTCACTGGTAAGGGCACAGGCTGCTTCATCTGCAGTATGACGACTGGGGTACGTTCTAAACCCAGTACAGGGGTCAATGCAATGCAGGTAAGCTTGCCGTGGTGCTTTGAGATGCACGTTCACTTACAGAATGCCTTTGGCTTTGGAGATGGTGGTGAAATAAAAAGCACAGAGCTCACAAAGGATCATACAGAAACAGGGTAGATCTGATGGAAGCCATTTGCTCTGATTGAAGGTGACATATGGCACTGAGAGCATACAGCAGCTGAACTGTAGTACAGCGAGCCAGGCAACGTCACCAGCAAGGGACTGAAGACCAGGTGCAGCTTCCTCACATGGGCTTGAAACTTCTGCTCCACCACTACTGAGAATTATTTAATTTCTGACACGACAGCTATCATACCATTTCCCGCCTGACCGTGTCACGGTGTCTCCATACACTAATATGATCATGTCGTGCCTGCCTCAGCAAAGAGGAGTCTTCAGAACGCCTGTAACCAGACCCATGACTGCACGATGCACTGCCTTAAAGGGAAGAGCTGCTCAGGGCTGTGCAATCAGACAGTAACACATCTTTCAGGCACAGTAGATTCGGAGTTAAATTCCCCGGTACCTCTCTGCTGCTGCTCTTCCCAGCTCTCGTCTCTTTCCCCTCCTCGCCCTCCCGAGCGCCCGTCTCCGGGTCGGACTCGGACTGCAGGCTCCTCCGGAGATGCAGGATCCGGTACCGCAGCTTCTCGTTCTCGCTCCGCAGGGTCTCCAGCTCCGGGCTGCTGCAGAGGCCGGCCACGGCCGCGGGGTCTCCGCCGACCCCACCGCGCAGCCAGGACACCTCCTGGGTCAGCAGGCGGACCTGCTCCTCCTGCGCGGCCAGGCGTGCTACTATAGTCTCCGCCATCTTTAAATCCCGGCTTCTTCCCTCTTCCACGGCTTTAATACAGCTGGCAGCAGCGCCACTGCGCGGAAACAGGCTTGTAGCGCCCCCTGCTGGCTCCCGTGAGCAGCACATTGGGATTAGGCGCTGCTTGGTTAAACCGTAAGGAAATCTAAACTCAGCATATGGGCAGAGTTAAATTTCCCTCGCTTGGTATTTTTAAAAACATTTAAAAACATTATCCATAAAGCTTCAGTATTACTATACTACTGTTATTGCTGCTTCTATTAATTCTATCATTACTACAACCACCACTAAAACTACAGTATACTGCAGTAATTGGAGCATACCTCACTTCTCTTCTTCAGTAAGCGGCGATGCAGGTACTGAGCCGATGCAGGATCTCACCGCCAGGGGGAAGCACCGCATTCGTCCGTAACTAAAATCGCGGTGACGTTGTACAGTGTACAGTATGGAAACAGAGCTAGAAATGCACATTGGGCAGGTGTGGAAGTAAGTCTGCAGAAAAAAACATAAGTGATCGCCCTGAGCACACTGTTTTAGTCCCCCTAGTATACAGATTTAGACTAGTGCACGTATTGAGGTTTACGAGGCTCAAAACGGTTCGGAAACTATTGTTCTATACCTTTATTTAAAACCATCGGGTCACTTTACATAGCCGCTGGAAACACGTTACTTACTGGAAAATGTTAGGTTTAGATGCACTGTATACATCGCTGCTCTGCCCATAAAAGATCTGGCATTTTCAATCGCATTAAATTGCCATTTAACTCTTAATTTTCTTTCGGATCTGTGACGACGCGCTATTGGTGCATGTAATTCCCAGAGCGCTTTCAACAAGGAAGTAGGTGCATGTCGAGTCAGCCCGGCTCCAGAGTGGGGAGGATGAGCAGCTCCGCGGCCCCAAGCCTGTCCGCCTCCTGAGCCGAGCTCCGCCGTCCCACTGCCGGCATGGCTGCGGGCTTCGCTCCCCCGAAACTGTCCGAGTTCATCCTGACCGAGAGGCTGGGCAGCGGGACCTACGCCGCTGTGTACAAGGCGTACAGGAAGGTGAGTTCTCCGCGGCTCTGCCGTGCACAGAGCTTCCGAGGAATACCGACATTGCGCTCGCAGTTTCCCCACTTTGATAAGACACTCTGGATTCTGATAGCCGTAATGACATTCATTTTGATTATTGCAAAATATGGCCGTCAGAAACCAGAGTTCCTGTTGAAAAGCTTCGATATGGACTCGGCAGTGTGAAAAATCACCATTCCTTCGCTTCAACCATCAGTATCGGTGTTGTGTTTGCAAATATAGGCGGCACATACACAGCTATACAGTGGCCTGTAGGACTGCAGATAACGTGAGTCTGTGTTTTTCATGAACGGGTGGTTTCGCATAAGCACACTGAACTTGGCTGGTGATTTTTGAAGCTGTGTTTTACAAATACATATATGTAAGTTGAACATTCACATTGTAAAAATACAATTTGTAGGACTGCACTTTGTTTTTACTGTGATATTTCTTTCCAAGAACCAAGTGGTTCCAGTGAGTCCAGCCTTGTAAAACTTACATGTATGATCTCTGACTAATGGAGACAGATACACTTGTGTCACATACGCTGTTGGACCCAGGATTCAGTTCTGTATCTCCCAAGCCCTTCCCTGCTCCTGACACTGCCCCACCACCAGAGGGCAGGGATGCTGTTGAGAGTCCTGTCTCTGGAAAACTCTCCTACTCCTACTACTCTCCTGCTGCTACACGTGGAGACTGGGTACACTTCCTGATGTGCTCCAGGGTGCAGGAGCAGGTGAAGAGTAAGCTCAGGGTGGGGCAGAGTCATGATGCAGGGGCATAGTGGGATCTGGACTTGAGGACAAGCTGGACTCACAGCGACTGTCTCGCAGAAGGACAGCAGGGAGGTGGTGGCTGTGAAAGTGGTGGGGAAGAAGAGTCTGAACAAGGCATCCACGGAGAACCTGCTGACGGAAATCGAGATCCTCAAGACTGTGCGGCACCCCCACATTGTGCAGCTCAAGGACTTCCAGGTACCCCATCTGCACCACTCGGAGCCACACACCCAGCCCTTTTCTGAAGGTCTTGCAGACACTTTCCTGAGGGACAAAGCGTACTGCTCTGTTGAAGTAGTTCAGCTGGGTAGCTGTGTCAGCACCGCGTAGGCTGCAAAGGAACAAGTAATAGGTGTATTCAATGCTGAAAAGAGAAGAAAGAAACCACAACATTTCGGCTGTGGAGTAAGGTTACACCCGAAGAAGGCACAACAGCCTAAACGTTTTGTTTTCTTTCTTCTCTTTTCAGCATGGAATAAACCTATTACTTGTTCCTGTACTGCCCTGTTGTCTCCAGAGATGTAATGACCTGAGTTGTTGTGCGCTTTTTAAAAACATGTTGCGGATGATGCAGAAAGGAAACACTGTGTGTCTCCAGGGTGCTGTTCGCCACAAGCTGTGTGGCATCACTGACTAGGGCAGGACTCTGTACGGCGCTTGTGAGAGTCTGAGGGCTGCACTGAGGGGAGCAGTCTGGCTCCTGCTGCCAAGACTGGGGTTCCACTGTGGCCACGGACAGAAAATGGATGTTGCTTCCTTAAACATTTATGACACCAAATTCAAGGAGGTTTTTGACTTCTGGACTTATTCTGAAGTAAACCAGTAGTTGCAAATAAAAGTATCATTTCAAATTTAACAGAACCCCTTGAAAGCCGAAGAAAGACAGGTGGTTGTGTGCTCTTTATGTTATTAGCTGCCGCTGTCCTCAGGGCGCTCTCCTGGTGGGGGGCGGTGGACTGATGATGCTTGTCTTGGCTGCAGTGGGACAGTGAGAATATCTACCTGATCATGGAGTGGTGCTCCGGGGGCGACCTGTCTCGCTTCATTCGCAGTCGCCACATGCTGCCGGAGAGGGTGGCCCGCCGCTTCCTGCAGCAGCTCGGTGAGTCCTGCCGCTTCCTGCTCCTGCTTGACCAAGCCCCTGCTGGCCCTGTCCTGGGTTTGTAGGCTGTGTTCTTACGCTGTCGCCCAGTAAGTGTGTGGCTCAGCTGATGGGAGTGTGGTCGACCGGAGCCCTGACTCTGCTGTGTTGCGCGTCTGCAGCCTGCGCCCTGCAGTTTCTCCATGAGCGGAACATCAGCCACCTGGACCTCAAGCCTCAGAACATCCTGCTGAGTGGCAGCGTCCTCAAGCTGGCAGGTACAGTCTGACCACAGCTTCCTGCTCACAGCCCCTGCAGGCCGGGGGTCCGAATTCAGCCCTGCTCTTACAGGACACCTGTGTGTGGCGTCGGAGGAAATTGTGGACAGAGCTGAGTTTGGTGAAGTACTCCTGATGTCGGGACAGCTGCACAGGATAGCAGGTGTTATAAAAGTGCTGTTCATTAGAAAGTCATGATGAATTTGCAGCTATTTTAAAGTGTTCCCTCTGAAACAAACTCAGATTGAATAGAAATGCACAAGAGAGAAGAGCTGCATTTTCTGATCTGGAAAAACCCGTTTACTCCCTTCAAAGCGCTCACGTTTGCATATTCCAGTGGGTGTCCTGATCAGTAGGCAGTAGTTTACACTGTATGGGCCCTTCAGGGCCTCGTGTGGAGCGCCCCCTCACCGCCCCTGTGTCTGTGTGCAGACTTCGGCTTCGCCCAGTACATGTCTCCCTGGGACGAGAAGCACGTGCTGCGCGGGTCCCCCCTCTACATGGCTCCGGAGATGGTGTGCAGGCGGCAGTACGACGCCCGAGTCGACCTCTGGTCTGTGGGGGTCATCCTGTACGGTGAGGGGGCTCTGGGGGACTCCGGTCGCGCCGCGTCGCGCTGCACACGCTGCGGGTCCCCCGTTCTCCGGGGCGCTCTGGGCTCCGCAGGGAGCGACTTCGTTTGGACCTTTGCCTGGCTGGGGAGGCCGGACAGAACTTCCCAGTACCTCTCGCTGTGCCAAGAGGAGCCCCGTGACGTCTGCAGTCTAGTTTCTGTGACGCTTACAGGAAATGTAATGCAGGCTGTACGAAAGGGCATCTGGACTGGGGGTATTTACTTTCTTTACGGAAGGCTTATGAGGTCATGTTCAAGATGCCACATCACTACATGGCCTGAAGTTTATGAATACATCTGAGTTAATCTGTTTATTTCTGTGGGCCATCCCCCTGCTGGTATCCCACAGCGCTGCCTTGTCGCAGGCGAATGTGTCTGGGTGCCTTCAGCCTTATTCTGGTCTTATTCTGGATTCCTGAAATCAGTCAGTTTCAAACCCTTTTAGTGCCTAAGGAAGGTTACTGATGAAAGGAGACAGTTTCACCCTTTCTGCTGATTCAGCTGCTAAAAGGTCATTCATCTAAGGCTCTTGTACAAGCCTCTGATCTGCTAGCAGTCAAAATCTCAGTATTTATTAGCTTTTAATTAGGTTGCATACATTCAATTGTACTGAACTTTGAGATTTATCTATGAAAAATGCACTTATCGATACAATTTATTAAGTACTTATTTAAATCTTTCTTTTTTGTTTTTCAATTGGCCTGCTACACCTCGATACTCTCTGTATCTTATTACATGCCAGCATGGTTCTGCAGCCCTGCGGTGTTCTGGGACATCGACTGCTTCTGCCACCTGCCTCAAGGCTCACCTGGCATGCGGCGATGTCCCATGGCACCGTGCGTTCTGCTGCGCCGCCTAAGACCCAGTCTGTGTCGTTGCCCCCTGTGTGTGTTCAGAGGCCCTGTTCGGCCGGCCCCCTTTCGCCTCGCGGTCCTACACTGAGCTGGAGGAGAAGATCCGCAGCGACTGGCCTATCGAGGTGAGACACACCTGCCACGGGAGCAGGAGCGAGAGTGTCCCTCTGTGTCGATGTGTTCGCGACGCTGCCCTCCGGCAAGCACAGTGCCCGCAGCGGGAAGCAGAGGCAATGACAAACATCTGATGTATCGCCAGTGGACCCTGTTTCGTCCTTCACAGTCCCACATCTGTTGAAAGCCAAGCCACACCCTCAGTGTCCTGACGCCAGCGCGCGTGGTGGAGGTGGTGGAGGTGTCCTTGAGGCTGCTGCCTGCCTGCCTGATGCAATTCCTTGCAGCCAGAGAAATGCTTTTTCACTCTCTGATAGCTGCTGGACAGGGCATTTCTCTAGCAGCCTCAAGGACACAGCTCAGAGTTAATAATAATCAGAATTCCAATAGTTTTCTCAAAGCACTTTACCTAGAGGGGACCCCAGTCACCCACCAGTGAGGTGCGGCCCCACTGCACAGATCAGGCAGAGAAGTGAGAAACTGATTCATCATTCAGATTAAGGAAGTTCAGGAATGACAGATTCTACAAGTCTAAGGTGAAATGTAGTCAGAACACCAAGGTTGGCACCCTTGTTTTTACAAACGGCTGTGTCTTCTTGAATGACAAAGCCATAGCCACAACCTCCCGGCCAACCTCGAGTAACCCAGCGAGTCCGCTCTGTCTGAACCAGTCTGTTGTGACAGCTGGACTGCAGCTCTGGAAATGGATGTTTACACACCATTCAGTGTTGCCAAAGATTTTGGAGCTAGAGATGAAGCGTGATCAAATATTTAAAGACCTTGTGTGTATTGGATTTGTGTTTTGGGGAAAAGAGTGGAAAGAGCCATAAGGAAGATTTGAATGAGAGGAGGAGAGTTCTTCACCACTAGAGGGCAGCCTGCGCAAGCTTAGTCCAGTTTGTCAAAGCATCTCTTCCAAGTCTTTGTTCCTGCTAAACCACGCAAAGAATTATAGTGTTAGAGAGCAAATCTTATAGTGTTGCAACCCCATGCCATATGTTTTACCATAGAAAAACTATGATAAAGAAAATAATACAGAAAAGAATGTAAAGTTTCTTGAAGTGAATACATGAACACGTCATGTGCAGGTATTCTGTACTGATGTAATGATACTCACATTTCATATTATAATTTGACCACAGTCTTTTAAGTCTATTAAGTTTATTTAGTCCTCTTGAATACTTGATAATATGACTGTTGTCCCGTCTGCTCATGGGAAAAGTCTTTCTTTTCACAGAATCTTATTGTAAAAAAAAAATCGGATCTATTGTATGCCTGCTCGAAGGGCCTGAAAAAAAAACTTAACAGCTTTTCTTTTATTGTTTTTTAGCCAAGTCTGTGTCTGATTGAAACTAAAATCATAACTGTCCGGGTTTTTGTGGACATTGTGGTTAAAATGTGGGTTTAAAAACCTCCAAGAACTCCAAGAATTCCAAGAACTGTGGACATGAACTTGGCAACCAAAAGAAACTTCCCACTGTATCTTTGGTCTGAGAGGAGAAAAATGACCAGGGAGCCTTTTAGATCAAAACATGATTATCTCCCCCCCAGATTTGTGGTCCTCAGCACTGGATCTGGCCTTGACTTATTTCTCCTTTCCCTCAGCACTCAGTTCTCAATCCGGGGAGCAGTAAGCCCCTAACTAAGGCTCGAGTTACAAGAGCAGTTTTCTCCCCGGCTCGGCTGAGAGGGTGCAGGAGTGTGGCGCAGTGCCTGGCTCTTTCAGCTGGAGGTGCAGCTCTCCCTGGGACAGGCGCCTGCTCAGACTGTCTGGGAATTTGCTTCCCCTTGTAAAGACAGACAGGAAGAGAGCCAGACAGCCCAGGTGGGAGGATGAGGGGAGAATGGAGGAGGGTGGTGTTGAGATATTTTTGGGGGCGCCCCCGTTTCTCTGTGGCTGTGCATCAGCAGGTGCAGTGTCCAGCCCCTGGTCAGAGGAGTGGCCAGGCTGCCGGCTGAGACACCAGAGTTCACACGGCACAGGCACAGCTCCGGGAAAAACAGTTGTCGCAGTAAGAGCTGGAGACCGAGAGGGAGGCCCCCAGTTTGTGCCTTTGCTCCGTCTGTAATTACCAGTAGGTTTTCTTCACATTACTGTCTTGGTTGTGCTGAATATTGTCACTCGGATGTAGTTGTTTTAGTTATGAGGAATCATGTTTCACGTGAGATTTAAATTAACTTGTGCTGTTTTTTTTCTGGAAGGTTTTTCTTTCATACTTTTGTCTCGTGATGCAAAACCCCCTTTTGTTCAGGATTCAACAGTATGCTAGTAACAGAGTCACGCTAACAGCGATGTGATTGTAAATGAGTGTCCGGGCTGTCTGTGCAGGGCAACGCATCGTTCAGGTTGGTCACTGAGACAAAGATAGAAATGGTCCCGGGTTCAACGGCCTCCAAACTGCTTCCCGCCTCACCAGCACATTTTATCCACATAGATCTCCTAGAGTCAAGGTCTCTATAAACTGCGGATAATGGGCACTGAGCTGCGATTAGAGCTCACATTACGGCTTCGAGATGCTTCCAAAGGGATTTTTGTGTTACTGCATGAAGCTCAGTAAGAGGAGAGTGAAGTGCCCTTGTACAGTGTATGTTTTCTAAAACAGCTGGTCTAGCAGGACGCCTGTTTTAGATCATGCTGAACTCCAGGGGGCTTTGGAAAGCTTGACTACACAACACCAGTATGTGTTCATAGGAAATTACAAGGATAATTGATGGAAAAAACGAATTCACATTGCTCGAAATTTTTTCACGTCTTAAGAATGGGAAAGGGAAATTAATAAAATTCTGGTTTTGAAAGCAACAAAAGCAAAAGTAAGTAGGAACGGTTGGGGAGTTTAAAGAAAGGCTGTTTCATCAGTAAAAAAGCGAGGAGCCCGCGCTGCCTGGTTCTCTGCAGGGCTGAGGCATTGATTTTGACAGGATGTGTGGATAATGGTGGGTGAGCTGCTGATTAAAGGGGAGGTGTTGGTGCAAGCGCTGCTGGGGAAACTGGGGTCCCCCTGGCCAGGCCTCTGTCTCCTGTGTTGCAGCTGCCGCCGGGGGCGCGCGTGTCCCGGGACTGCCGAGACCTGCTGCTCCGCCTGCTGGACAGAGACCCCGACAGCCGCCTCTCCTTCTCCGCGTTCTTCGCCCACCCCTTCGTCGACCTGGAGCACATGCCCAGCGCGGAGAGCCTGGGGAGAGCTGTGAGTCCCGGGGGCCCTGGGGCTCGGACCCGTCCTCCAGGCCGCTCCCTTGACCTTGAGGGGGTCTGCGCGGCTCCCCCGAGCAGGGGTGGCGATTTCAGGCTTGGAGAGTTTCCACCAATGAATAACCATTCAATTCCATTTTTAAAGAGGAGATAGAAAGCAATAGAATGAAGTGTGTAGTCGGTGCTTCAGTGCCCTGGAGAGGATCTCAGCTGTGTGGCTCAGAGGTCTCAGCCCGTTTTTGCTGTCCCATGGTAATGTTTATTGGAAGTGTTATTGTTCTGTAGCCAATGAGCCGCTTGAGATTTGTTTTGTAGTGGATCGTTGTACGAAAGGCAGATGTAAATGGTAGAACATGCTCGTGGCTCTAGGAGGTGTGACTGAACAGTACCACCCGCACCGACGCTGCAGGAGGGAGCAGAGGGCCGGATTCTGGGAGAAGCTGGACAGGTGTCTGCTGGGCTTGTGCAGCAGTGGACTGTGGTCTGGACCTGTGCAAAGCCATCCTCAGAATTTTCTCTAGGATTAGGAGGGTTAGAATGAAGTGGAGATGATTCACACGTAATCCTGAAAAGTTGATTAGCTACTAATTTAGGAAGGAAAAAAGTGATTTTGCAGGAAATGGAATGGAGAGATTTTTTTTCTAGCCTACATTTGTACATGGGTTTTATTTGTTGGTTTCAATCAACCTTGATAATTGGATTCCAGTTCTGATTTTCACTGGGTTGTGTCATTAGAGTGACCTGATAACTCTTGCGATGTTAAAAGTTCCCTTTCTATGCGTTTGTGTTTCACTGCAATGTGGAGCAGCAGGGGCAGGGTGTTGCCTCGTGTCTCGGGGTGCATGTCTGCTTTGTGGGGCGAGTGTCCACTGTTTCTCTGTGTGTGTCTCACCCAGACAGAGCTGGTGGTCAAGGCTGTCCAGAAAGACCAGCGGGGGGATTGGTCAGCAGCGCTCTCCCTCTACTGTAGCGCACTGGAGCACTTCGTCCCGGCCATCCACTGTAAGGAGCCGCTACTGCCCTCTGAACCTGTTCCACCGCCTGCTGGCCCTTCAGCCTCTGGACAAGAAAATGTCCCAAATAGAGATTACTACTATTTCCTGCAGTAGTACTACTGTCTACTATAGTACCTGAGAAATGCCTGTAAATGCTTTAATCTTTCTGCAGTGTTTGTGTTTCCTCTTTGGCCCCAGACAACTTGTTCTTATTGTGTTTTGTAGATGAGACTGACATCCAGCGCAAAGAGGCGCTGAGACAGAAGGTGAGTCGCAGGGATCGGGGGGGAAGTGTCATGAGTTCCTCTGTCTGTGACATTCGGCTCTGAGGGACAAGCAGCAGCACAGCGCTGGCGGCACGCTCCCTCTGTGCCCCTGAGACGCTGGCATCTGCCTGTGAGAGACTGGTGCTGTCACAGGAGAGTCGGGGTCAGATCGCCCCTTCCCAAGGATGGCCATGGGGCAGCTGTGGGAATGATGGGGTTCTGGGGTCCCTAGGAGATATGGGGGTAAGGGGTGGTGGAGATTGACTCAACTCAAAAAAACGAATCCCAAAATCTCAATTTGCTTTTTTGTAAGTTTGACAGATATCTTGTTAATGTACTGACAGTAACATGGAAATTTATGCAAATATTTGACAAAGTCTTAACTGGGTTTTTGTCCTGCAGAATTAAATCTCTATGCGGAAAATGTGTTTAAAAGATTGATTTTGTTGGATGGCTCACCGTCGGAGGGTTAGGGTTAGGCTCTTCTATGAGTCATGTTCTAGGGACCAGTCTGATTCCCAGTCACGTACAGTTGCTGGTGTTGGCAAGAGACCCACAAGGAGAGTGTGGGCTTTGTCGTGTTGAGGGGAGTGGCTGGGGATCACCTGTGAATCCTGCCCTGAGCTGCTTGATGACAGAGGCCAATCAAAGTGGCTTAGTTTCCTCTGTCAGCTGCTGTGTAGTACTGTACTGGTGGGTCTTTCCAGTAACTGGTACCCTAGTGCCATGCAGTAGGGCAGGTGATGCTGAGCTTTCCCACAGTGTGTCCGTGTCCATGTCTGTAGCAGGACAGAGGCTGGTCAGTGACTGATGCTGAGCTTTCCTTCAGGTGAACCAGTATGTTTCCAGAGCTGAGGAGCTCAAAGCACTGGTGGCATCAGACAACAAAATCATCTTTGAAGAAGCCAAATCAGCCAGGGACATTTTGAAAGGTAAGAGATGCATTAAAGGTTACCGAGTTAGGAAATAATGTTTTAATGGACACAAGGGACAGTGTAATTTTGATGAAGGCTGAGTTTGCCCTCAGGATAATGCAGTACTATATTTAGGGGAAGTTAGCTCAGATTTTTGTTTTCAAACACTACTCCTTTGATCCATAATTTTTTTAACTGTCTTAAGAGATCCATCCTTGTTTACAGATGTAATTTGTCACCTCTTGATAATGAGGTGTTTTTGCAGTACAAAAATTAAAATCTTTCGGGTTGTTTTAGCAGTAAATGCTGCAGTGCAGAAACCCATCACAAATTCTAGTTTGACAAACAGGTTTGCGAAGAGAGACAGGAGGGCAGTTTGTCTGGTGTTTTAGGGTGCAGTAATGTAATGGCAATGTCTCCAGCACTGCTTTGAGACCTAACATGACCCGTGTCCTTCCCCAGAAATGTCTCGCAGTCTTCCCCGGCTCCTCTCTGCACTGGAAGTGGCATCTGCGGCTATAGCCCAGGTAATGCAGGACTGCCATCTGTCCGTCCTCTCCGGAATTCCTGGTGTTTGGAATGGTGATCAGGATTTCCGCTGTATAGTACCCCCTATTGACCTCACAGTTCAGCAGGGAAAGAAGGTTCCTCTTAAAAACCTGATCCCTCTGGCTCCCCGAGTGGCTCTGCTGGGAAAGGTGCTCACTGCATATGTAGCTAGAGGCTGTGGTCCACACATCCCAGGTTCGAGGCTGGATGTTTGCTCAGTTGGGTGAGGCCTGGAGTTAACAGGCCAGGGCTTTCCTGGACACAGCTGTCTTTCCATCAGTGCTGAGCTGTTGGACAGACGCACGGAGCTCACTGTCTGTAGATGAAGAGGACATTCTCCCCCGTGTCACATAAATAAATGCAGAATTCTTTTTTTTTAAGCAAAAAAAGTTTAAAAAACGAAATTTAAATCATGTTGGCATCACAGATTCTGTGTTGCACAATGAAACAAATTTCACCCACTGGTTTAAACTGATTTCTGTTCTCGGCAGCAGCTCAGATTGACGACACTGCGCGAGTTGCTGTGTTTAGGGATAAACCAGATGTGGGTGTGAGAGAATCTGTGCAGTAACTGTCTGTCCTGCAGGAGGAGGAAGGCCAGGAGAGCCAGGAGACACTGGACCTGTACCAGCAGAGTCTAGGCGAGCTGCTGCTGGTGCTGGCAGGTGAGGGTGGACACCCAGAGCTGATGGGAAAGAATTGGCTATAACACACGTTTAACAGCAGCTAAGTGGGGCAGTGCTGTGGTTCAGGGGTCAGAGTTTTGGTCTTGTAACTGGAAGGTTGTGAGTTCGAATCCCAGTTGAGACACTGCCGTTGTACACTTGAGAAAGGTACTTCACCCGAAAGTCTCCAATAACATACCCAGCTGAATAAATGTCTGCAGATGTATTTTGCTTTGGTTGAAAATGACTGTAACTGCGTTTCCTTCTGAAAGGCAGTGTGTGGTCTGCACACAGTTCTAGGTCTCTCCTCCATCACAAACCTAATTTATCCTCTGATTTCTTGCTGTTTTCATGTTAATGCTATTATTTTGAAAATTGGCTGAATGTAATCACCTGACAGAAATATTTCAAACGGCTGCATGTGCTGTTTGCAAATCACATTCAGAACAAATTAAATTGTAATGATTGATAAGAAGGATCCTTAACCCAGGAGGTGTTAATTACCTTTATGGGTCATTTAAAACATATCGGTTGTGGTTTAAAGAGAGGAATGCTGAAAACTGGAGCCACTAATTGTATTACCATGGGATGTGACAAATCTCGCAGAGTGTCTTTGATACAGTGTATATTATGCCGCTTGCCAATTTTTCTGTTATGATCCATATTTTGTTCGACACGCATTGAAATTTAAGAATTTAAATATTAGACGAAAGTCATCTTCTCATACACCAGAGATGGGCTCACAGTAGCTCCTTCTCTCCTTACATATAAGCTAAGTGTCCTGTAGCTTGGAACTATTGGGGACAGTGGGGTAAAATAATTAAAAACCCTTTAAAGTTTTTAATAAATTAAACTCTTGTCAGCACACTTTGGACGGCTCACTACACTCCTCCGCTGTTTTCTTCAGCCTTCTCCTGTCTGTACGTACCTGCTCTCCTTAGTGGTTTGTACATTCAAGGATTCTCTTTTCAAAATGCTAAGACCTTTCTTGTACTCTTGAACTGGAACCTGTCATCTTAAATAAGGAGAGCATAAGACAATTTGAACACATCAATGCAGTTTTAATAATAAAATAGCGAAACAAATGGAAGAGTTTCAATGCCCGTCTTGGTGCATGAGGCTATAAGAACTGCACACTTTGCTGTTGGCTCACGTTCTGAACCCTTCCAGGACTGCAGAAATTGCCCTGAATCTGTTGCACTCAAACATTGGTTCAAATTTTATTTGCAGAAGAACAGAAATTAGTCTTTATTTCATTAAGAATCATAAGCTGAGGCTATTTATCGAGCTGTATATGAAAGCTGCTTGCAGTTTTGCTATCTTAATTAAGTCTTTCTGGTGTATTTTTATTTTAATTAGACATCTTAACTTGTGAAAAGTCCTGCATTTTTCTTTCTATGTGATCATGTGTTAATTTACATTTGCAATTTTGACAATACACCTGTGATATTATAAAGTCTTTAATAAAGCCACACATTTCTGCCCTTTTATATAGTTTTATAAGATTTTCAATGAAAGCATATTAATTTCAGGTGCACAGCTTATGACCACAACAGAAGCAATAGGATGTTGAGATCTCTTTCCTTGCTGCTGTGGGTGGTGCAGTGTAAGTTAATTGTGCCACACTGCTGTGTCTCTGAGCACTGTGGTTTCTTTTTGCCTCCTCTGAAGGACTTTTACATCTGTTCTGTGTTCTTATAACCTAGAATTAAATCAGAAGTAACAGCAGAAATGCAAATAATGAATACAAATGTTGTGGCATGATATCAATTAATAAATATTATTAATTCCTAAATTTAAAATTATCAGTCTACAGCAAAGTACTACCACAAATCTGTAAAAATGAGTCTTCCTTAAGAAGATATACCATTTGGTCTTGTATTGATCAGAAAAAGACCATAGATTATTACATTATTAAAGAATGGAAAAAATAATGATTTTGCAGCAGAATACCAAAAAAAGTAAAAAGATGGTAAAAAACTGAAAAATCAGGTTTGTGTTGATCTTGAGAAGTTGTAAATATCCAGGGTTTTCTCATTTCGTTTTCTAGTAATGCACTCATTAAAGGCCTGACTTCAGCTTTTCTGCTAACCCTGTCTGAGCAGATCTCTGTTTTTCTTTGGCTGTGGGTTAGCGTTTATTAACTCAGCCGCTCGATTACCTCATCTGGTGACAGACACCCCTCACAGGACAGGCCAGATGTGGGGTTTCTTAGCTCAGTGTGCAGAATGCCAGTGCATGTGTGTGGTATATGAGTAGTGCCATCTGTTTTAAATTGAGCTAGCGCAGTTCATTTGTCAGTATTATTACACGTTGGAAACAAATAAAAACTTCTTTATTCTAATAGAGAAGTGCTTAAGTAAAGCCCCCCTTTCCGTCAGGATCGAGGCAGATCTCTAACATTGAATGTTAGCCAGACTAATGCGGTTTCTCCTCAGTGACCCTCTGTGGCTTGATTTGTGTGGTTCTGTCCTGTGCCACTCTCCTGTTTCTGTTTTTCACTGTCTGGCACACTTGACTTTTGTTCCCTGTTTTACAGAAACATTAGTGTGTTGTGATAAAACATTTCGGTGTACAAAGCAAAACGCCTACACCTTTTCAGATGCAGGAAGAATGAATGTTCCTGGCAGTAGTACTGATTTTCACCCATCCTCAAGAGGTGTGTTTTTCAAACCTATAAGGATGCAGAAGTGAAACAATGATCACTGGACATCACAGTGTGCTTCTCAAGTTGTAGTCCTGCTGCACGCGTGGTGACCAGCAGCTGGGGTTTAGGAGTGTGGATCTCAATTCAATTAAATTCAGTTTATTTTTATATAGCGCCTTTCACAACAGGGTTGCCCCAAGGTGCTTCGGGATCTGTCCCGAAGGAGTCTACGCTGTCCTCCTGAGGCACTGATTCTACCTTATGACATAGCTATCAGATCAGCATCAGTCCCTCTTTGATCTCAAGCCTGTGGTTGAATGGTATGAAGGACAAATCCTCTCTAAGATGACCAGGCCTGGCTTTCCTCTGCTGTCTGCGCAGGTTGTGCAGCCTGTCTGCGCAGGGTAGTCTACATGGCTTTGCGGTTGTAAGAATGTACAAATGCGCAGCATTCATGCAGCTGCTTTATGGCTATTGGATCAGCTGGGACTGCACTGTAGCACAAGAGCTGTACTCAAGGGACAAAATACAAGGAGTCCCCACATACATCGCCTCTCTCGCTGGTGGGCAGTGTGTAGTTGGATTGGGAGCCCGAGACCGGCTTCGCCTTCCATTGCCTTCCCCGGCCAGTAACTGGTGGAATGTGCTGTTCAATCCCTGACAGAAGGCAATCCTACTGAAAGAAAGGCATGGAATTGTACTGCAGGTATTTCCAGACCCTACTGGCGTGCATCCCATACGCTGCTCAAGGCCCAGCATGCTGTTTGTGGGCTGCTAGCGGTGCAGCCAATGAGTGTGTATTTAATACAGAAAGCACATGGATCGTGTGCGCCTGTGGTGTGACTGGTCTCTCTCTCTCTGTGCTCTGCAGCGGAGCCTCAGGGCCGGAGGAGGGAGCTGCTGCATGGGGAGGTGAGGGCGTCTCTGTGGCCGGGCTGCTGGCAGGAGGGGCGCATGTTGAGCAGCAGCAGACGTCGTACTTCTGCGCCCCACGGGGACACCCGCAGGAAGCAGCCCCTCGTGCTGGAGAACGGTGGAACTGAACACACAGACGTAGCTTCGGCCAATATTAACGGACTAGTACAATTCGCACCATACCTGCGGGATAGTTAGGATGTAGAGGCTGGCCCGCGGTTTGAGCTGGGGTTGAGCTTGTGTGAAGAACAAGAAGGCAGTGGTGTCCAGGGCTTCTTCAGGGTCCTTCTGGCCAGAGCTGATCCTCTCTGCATGTCCCAGGTCTTTAATCCGAGCAGACAGCAGTTCTGTCTGGGCCGTGCCATGTTCATAACCGTCTCACCCATTTACTCAAGCTGTTCAGACACAGCGGGCCTTGGTGAAGGAATAGTGTTAAGTACCTGATTAGAAGAAAGACACACATGGACCTCTGGAGTTCGATCCTTAGAATGACTTCTTTTTGTGATTTGAAAAAAATCGGAATAATCTTAAAATAATGATGTTATTTTCATGAGGCATAAATTTGATTATCTCATGTAATTTGGCATGTGAAAGAAAAGTTATTGTGTAGACTTTCCATAGACAGACTTCAATAACAAAAAGGGAAGATTAAAGACGCTGAGACTGTGGTGCCCTCATTTGAAGTTTTATTGGTGTTTAAATAAATTCAGATGCCGCTATAATAATCTAATGCTTAGCTCAGAAGTGTGGAAAATCAAAAACATGTGTTGACAAAAAACAGCTTCAATAACCTCAGTGTTGTTCCATGCAACTAAATTTAATTTACATGCAGCCTTGTAGATCAGAGTCGAGAATCTTAAAAAGACTCTGAGTTGAGGGAGGTCAGAATCATCTCTGATGTTGTTGGTTATTGAAGCATGCTCTGCACGTACAGTCAACTTGCATTGAAAGCTGGCTTAATTGTAGTTTTTTTTTTAGTAAACCCCCTTTTATTTTGTAAGATACAATATAATTTAGAATCAGCTGCAAACAAAGACTGCGAGCAAATCGATAACTTCATTTTTAAACTGTTCTGTTTATCAGAATAGATGAATAATCAGTCTTCATAAATGGTTCATTTTAAAATAGCAGGTGTTAACGATTTGAGATAATGCATGTACTGGCATCTTTTTCTGAGTTCTAGCACTAAAATAAAATAGCAACAGGTAAAAACAAAATTATTTAAGCTTGTTTTAGAGCTTTAAGGATCCCTTAAGGTCATCCGTAAGAGACTCTATTGCTTTCTTCTGGCAGTGCAGTGTGCGTTACGTGAGTATCTGTGTTACGTATGTCTTTATTTGCAATGAGGGACATCTGACACAGATGTGAGCTGACCTGACAGCTCTGCGTATCCTCTGTCTGAAAGACTCCAGGCACATGATGGAGAGGAGCACAGGCCACTGTGTTGTATCCAGGTCTGTGGGCAGGCACTATGTTCTGCATAGATGGAAGCAATTGGAGGAAAAGATCTTGAGGTATTTAAGGAAACGGGCAGAAAGGGCACTTTCTCAGGGATCTCTCACCTTGTTGGAATGAATTGAGCTTTACACAGAAATGCAAAATTCTTGATATTAAGGGTTCGTGATGAAATGTGCGGGAGCTGTGAATTTCATTTTGAAAGACTGGCTGCCTAGCGAAAGTGTTGCATTGCGGTTTTCCTCTGTGGGTTTGACAGTACTGATAATGAATTGAAAGTGTTTAAGTATCAGTAATGAATAAAACCAGGATTCATTGATGAATGGATGTGTTTGCCTTTCTAGATTAAAAGCCTGATGAGCAGAGCGGAATACCTCAAAGAGCAGTTGAAGGTACAGTAAATCTCCCACCTCTGATGCAGCGAGATCTTGTCTGAAGGTGCTCAGCGTGTGCCTTGTCATCACTGACGCAGGGTAGAAAAACTTGCTAAAGCTGCACTGAAAAGGCTGGGAAATCTTTTCTTCTAGAATTTTTTTTTAGCTGGACGAAATAATATTTTAAGGTTTTCTGAACATTGCAGCACAGTGCTCCTTTAAGACAAGTGATGCCAATGTAAAAACAGAGCCTTTTTTATTCTTACTCAAAGTAACTTAACAAATATTCTAAAACCGTCACTATTGCATCAGAGCCAGAAGTCACCCAGTTGTTGCTGATCTGTTTGTTCCGAGTCTGTGTGTTTGAGTTAGGAGGCCACTAGATGAGTTGGTGTTTTGCCACTAGATGAAAGCATGAGGCATCACAGAGTTCCTCCTGTAACAGACTCGGGTCTGCTCTCCTCTCTGAACCTCAGCCCAGACAAGGCTTTTTGCCCTGAGCTGCTGCCAGACAACTGTGGGGCCCTGGGCTGATGAGAGGGCTGGAGCTGAGAAAAAAGGCCTGGGGCTGAGAGGAGAGGGCCTGGGGCTGGGGCTGAGAGGAGAGGGCCTGGGGCTGGGGCTGAGAGGAGAGGGCCTGGGGCTGGGGCTGGGAGGAGAGGGCCTGGGGCTGGGGCTGGGAGGAGAGGGCCTGGGGCTGGGGCTGGGAGGAGAGGGCCTG